CAGTTAAGTAGACTTATGGATTATATTTTTTAATACAAAACTTAACCCCCACAAAATGGACAACTAGCTTAAAAAGATTTAAGGAAAGAAGCAGAGGGCCAAAGATAATACTGATAATACAAATCAAGCAAAGTTTAACAAATATAAAAATTCCTTTGCAAAATTAGTGAATGATAGGAGAAATATATGTCATGATTTATTTTGATATATTATTAAACAGTGTTTCTCACTCTCAGTGATTACTTTCTGTCCTGTTTTTGAAGGCTCACCCTGCTCCTTGAACTTCAGTGTGATGTAGGATGGAGCAGAATGCTTGCAACTGGGCCAGGGGCAGTGGGGCTGTAAGCAGCAAGCTGAGGGCCCGAGAGCCCCTGTGGATGGGATGGGGCAGCTGTGCAGAGGATCTCAGCAACCGTGGAGAAGCCACACGTTGAGGGGACTCACTGGAGCCCACAGGGATGGATGTTAGCTGGGAGTTGGACTGTGCTCACCCTGCTAACCCCTCTCTCCTATCTTGGTACATCATAATTTTTCCTACCCTCAGCCCCAGTGAAGAAAGAACACAGGGGAGAAGTGAGAGAGAGCATGGATTGACTGAGAGGCAAACTTCAGCTACCTTGTGGAACTGGGGACTTAGAAGAAAAATTGCAGTCATTTATAGAAAAGTGAAAGATATATTTTATACATCTGAGTTTATAGCCTGAAAATTATGCCAGAACCACTATGCAGAGAACAGTTTAGTTACCCTTTATCTTCTTGTTTCTAGACCGGTGCCTCCCAAAGATATCTACACTTCAGTATTAGCTGGGGGGGATCTTAAAAGACTACCATGCTTGTGTCCCATCCCTAGAGAGTGTCATGTAAGTTGATCTGGAGTGTGGCACTCTCTGGTTTGGGAATGTGTTTGTGGATTCCCAGAGTTCAGATGGCTGAAGTGTTACAGCATGGCAGCCTGTACCACCACAGCACACCGCAGCTGGGTTTTCCATTCGCTCAGCGGCATCCCCTGCAGGACTCTAAACTGCACGAGGGCAGGGGCCTTCCCATTTTTGCTCAGTACTACTCTCCAGCAGGCAGCACAGTTCACGGCATGCAGAAGATATGGAATAAATATTTATTGCATGAATGAAAATTTGCCCCCTTTCCTACTCATTATGCCTCACTCTCGGCTTCTCTTGAACTAGAAAGCTCTCCGGATAAAAACAGATGAGTAATGAAATATGGCCACAGGACCGTGGGAGGAAACATATGCGCATATGCTCCTCAGCTGCACTTCTTGACATCACCAATTTGGAGATTATGATCAAATGCCAAGTCTGTTGTCAGAGTCTTCTTAAAATTCTGCAGGAAGAACATTTCCGCCTTTTCATTTCTGGAGTCAGTCACAGCCATACGATGTAGAGTGAATAACTGGCTACATATTTGTGAACAGTTTTGTTAGTTGGTTCAAACTTAGGGTTTTATCTTTTTATATTCTATATGTTGGTCCACCATTCTATTTTATTGATATTTACTACACCTCTAAATGATATATTCTTTGTTCAATTGCTAATAATTTGGTTGATTACAATAATGAATTTTAATTTTAAACTTGAAATTACCAAGCATGATGCATGAGTCTAAAGCTGTGCTTTTCTGTAACATTTAAGTATAAACGTAGGTAGTAAAAATTAGAAGATTAATGAACTTGAAAAGCTCTTTCTTGAGTCTTTTACAAACTATGCCATACATTTTCCCTTTGATTTTACTTAAAAATGGAATACACATTCATATTTAAACATCTGACAGTGGACTGTTCAACTTGATCACTATCTTCACTGGGAATAGGGAGTGCATGGCATGCACAACACCTATGATCTCAAAATAAAGGTGACTGGCAAGAAGAAAAGCAGATAGGTTTCTCTACTTTGTTGTGTGTGTGTGTTTTTTTTTTTAATAGATCCATTTGCTATTTCTGCTAAGTTCCCCAAACACTTCGTGAATCTTTAAAGGCATAAGCCATAGTGTCCATTGCCTGCTAGGCAGCAATCACTGTAGTAGATTTTGTAAAATGTGAAAGGAAAAAGCTCTTCTATTATGTAAAACTTTCTTTTGTCATTTGAATAAAAAGTAATGACATATGGAGTGACTCTCGCAAGCTACTAAGTACAACACAAAATACAAGGAAAGTCTTTAAAAGCATATTTCCACTCACCACTAATCTTTCAAAGGTAGCTGCCTTTTCTGGACTCCAGATGCCTGGAATTGGATTAATCATAATTCTTGCTCCAGGACACACTATTATCATTTGAACAGGCATGGCCCTCTTTTACTTGTTGGCTTTAATAATGTAAAGGAGCTTATGAGTCTATAACCTACCCACGAGGTGGAATATTATCTTAAATTCATCTGTATACTCTTTTCCAACCTTTTTTTCTCCCTCAAAGGTAAATAATATTCTATATTATGGGTTTATTCCATTTATAAATAGTTCTATCACATATATACATAAACAAAATGATCTGCATTTATTTAGACAATACATCGGTTTTATTTTAGTCTTGCTTTGTATTCAGCACTGTTACTAAGATTCAATCATGTTGTTGTATCTGTAAACCATTCATTTTTTAATGTTTTATAATATATAGTGAACATATACCACAATTTATTCATTTTCCTGCAATGGGCATTTGAAAATTTTAAAGCATTTGCTATTCTGAATTCTGGTTTGGTGCAGGACGCCTCTTATGTTAGTCCCTGATGCAAACATGCAAATATTTATCTTGTGTATATACCTTGGAAGCAATTGCTGCCCATAGGGTATACAAGTGTTCAAGTCTACAAGATTTAAAATTTTATAACTTATTTTCATAAAACTGGCAAGACAGTTACACTCTCTACTTGGTATTATGAAACTTCTTAATTTTTGCAACCAATTTTGAAGTTTGATATGGTGTTGTAATCTCACGTGCATCATCAAGGTTTTTCATGACATTGATCAACATCAATTGATCAACAAAAATACATTTATTGGCCAAATGTATTTCTTTTGTATGAAATATTTCTGCGTTTTACTCATTTTTCTGTTTTTTTCTTATTGATCTGCATGACTTTTTATATATTATTAATAGTATCATCTTCAGTTATATGTATTGCAAGTATCTTCTCCCATTTTGTGGCTAGTCTTGTCACTTTCTCTAAATGTCTTTTAGTTTTAATATGGCCCAATGTATCAATATCTTGATGAATGAAGCCACTACACACAAACATGCACATATGTGAGAAGGTGGCATTTTTATATACACAGATGCATATATATATATATATATATATACATCCAAATATCATTAATTTCATGAATTTAGATCACATGACTCCAAAATTAAATTTTTTGTGAAATGGAGGATACCAGAGTTTTTATATCCATTGATGGCAAGTTATTTTCTGAGCTGAGAATTGTTTAAAGAAATACTGTATTTCAGCATCAAATGAATAGTACACTCTACATTTATTTATTATATGCCTAACTCCAATTTTAAAGAATCAACTGATACTGTTCTGTTTACCCCAGGCCAAAAATTATATATTATCTGCAGTAAAAAGGTATATTCTCTTTAAAGACAGTGTCTCCTGATTTTTATTTCATATATATTTATAGGCAGATAACTAATGATGATTCATAATGTAAGAAACCACTACATATACTTTTTGAGTCATAAAATAAAATCACAGACATAAAGTCATAGCTAACTCTCACTTGCTAAGTACCAGGCACTATTTATTCTAAGCACCTCATAGGCATTACTACACATACATTCTCACAACCACCCTATGAAGTAGGCACATTTATTACCATTTATACATGATGAAACTGATGGGGTCAAGCACCTTGTCTCAGTTCTCCTGAAAAATTGTGGAGATATTATCTGAACTAAAACTATCAGGTCACTTTTAAAAACAAAAGGGAGAACTTATTCAAAACACCCTAAGACAACAGGGTTAAGCCAGCAAGGGAGGACTCAGGCCTCCTCCGTCTGTGGCCAACTAGCAGTGCAACCGACATATGGAAAGCAACACCTTCCAAGGACTTTTATCACTTTGGAAATAGTGGACATAATCTGTTTCTTGTGGGTGTTCGCATTGTTTAATACATGAACATTTACAGCTCATCCCTTTCTACTTAGCCTTCAGCCTTCATTTACACATTTAGGCATCAACATAGAGCAAGACCCAGTGCCTGGTGCCAGGCCAAAATGGGCCTCCGAAGTTCCTCGCTCTGTCTCCTGCCTGACAGCCTGGATCTCAGCCTGAGGGGCCTCTGGGCTAAACTTGTGTGTATCAAAAGAACTGGTTGTCAGCACTGCGATGTCTTTTAGATAGAAACAAATATTACATATCCAAACCTTCTTTCAATGTAAAAAAAAAAGGAAAAAAAAGAAAAAGGGCATTCTGAAATACAACTCAAAAGTGAGAGAGCAGTGAAGCTGAGACCATGGGACTTTAAAGTCTTTGTTTCTTTTCTGCTGATTTATGATCATAAAAATTGCTGTTAAAAAAATAAATCATGGTGGGAAACAAATCTCAAAGCTCTGTGAAAAGCATAATGCAAAAGGGACCATCATTTACCACGATTTTGTGTAAAAATAAAAATAATGCAAGGTTTCTCTTTTTTTTTTGTCTTGCTTATTCAATTGGGTTTATTTTAAGGTCATGTGTTATATATATTTTTAAGTTTTCTGTATATTATGATACTTTGACATCTAAAAAATTTTTCTGGCTGGGGAGAAACTGCCCCCCCCCCCCTTCTTTCTTGGAGCAAAGGGCCAGGCAGAGCATGCCTTTGATATGCAAACCAGCTAGTGCTGAGCCACACCTCCTCTATCTGGCTGGAGCAACAGTCCTCTGCCTTCACCACCTCAGGCCAGGCACAGGTGACAGGACAAACATCCTTATAGCCCAAAGCCTACTGAAATTTTGGACTAGCTAATCCTAAACTGTTACCTGCCTTGCTTTTCCCACAGAAATCCTAGAAAAGGCCGAGGCCTGTGCCCTGCCCTCATCCCTGTCTTCTGCCTCCTGACCTCCCTGGTGTTCTTCCACGTGTTCCTGTCCTGCATGCCCTGCCTGTCTCCTGGCCCTAGGACCTGTGAGTATAATAAACTGTTTTCCTGAATCTCTCCTCTGTCTCCTTTTGTGGCTGCCCCTCATAAAACATACAAAGCAGGCCAGAAAGTTTAAAAGAGAAAACTTAAAAATCAAATGAAAGAGGGGAATCAATGGAGTATTCTGGGGCTGGGGAGTCACTGTCCAACCAGCAGCGGTAGAATGTCCTTTTCAGACATTTTGCTCATCAGACTGTCAGCAGCTAAATGTGCCCTAATTCACTGCTCCTCATCTGTGTGAATGCCACATGTAGTTGTGTGTGAAGAATGACAATTGTTTGTAGTATGGAAGGAATGGTATTGCATCAGAGTAACACTTTCCTATTAGGATTGGTGCTCATTCAAGTGCTGTTCATTTAGGGAGAAGCACTACAACTGAAAGGGGAATGTTGGAAACTGTCTTTCATTTAATAGGTTTCTTGGCTGTGCATTTTGATTAAGTGCTTTTATTGATTCAGCAGTATTAACCTCATTGAGTAAAGCATCTACACATAAGAGAAAAATCTGATCATTATCTTATAATGAGCTATGAGCAATTCTTTGGTATTCCCTTATTGGCTTGATGCAGAAGCCAGCACATTCGGCTTAACACTTGACTTCATTTCTTAGCTATGTCCAGAAACAGAGCTCTTTAAAGTGAGCCACAGTTATTAATCATGGGGATCTCAGGCTCCTAAACATAATAGGTACTTACTAAGTGTTTGTTGAAGGAACAATAGAGGGAATCATTGATTATTTTTGGACTATGACATATGATTTTTATTTTATCATAACTTTTTTCTGAATAACTGTATACTTGAAATTCAAATGGGAAAAGAACCCGATTTCTTCATCATAGAATGACATTTATAGGCTGACTTTATCATAAAGCTGCTTTTTACTTAATGGTTGAGTTTTATGAATAAGTATAGTTGGTCCTTGAACAATAAGGTCTGTTGAACTGCACAGGTCCATTTGCAAGTGTTTTTTTTTTTCAATAGATATATTGAAAAACTTTTTGGAGATTTGTGACAGTTTGAGAAAACGTTTTCTTTCTTTAGCTGTTCTTATTGTAGGAATAAAATATGTAATACATATAACATACAAAGTATGTGTTAATCAGCTGTGTATGTTATCTGTAAGGCTTCTGGTCAACAATAGGGTGTTGGTAGTTAAGTTTTTGGGGATTCAAAGTTATACTTGGATTGTTGAATGTATGGGGGTCAGTACCTCTAATCCCCACATTGTTCAAGGGTCAACTGTAATGTATTTTTAACCTGTTATCAATAATATCTAAGAGATAAACTACAGAGAGGTACACCTACTCCTGTATCTTCATCTCAAATGAAGCCTAGGATGGTATTCCAGAGCTCCATGTTGGTTGGAAATTATAAATTAATTTGATTTTTCACCTGAGGTATTTAAGAAATTATTTAGAGATTCCCTTGGTTGTTTTGTTCATATGTTTTGTGGCTTTTTTTGTATCTAATTCAAATGAAATTCTATTTATTTAATAAGCACATGGTTTAGAATTTTAAGAGCTGTACAAGTCAGGTAAAAACCCACATTTATTAGCCCCAGGAGATCACTATAAAACCCAGACATAAAGTTACTATCTCAAAACACACAAAAGAAAAGACTGAATTCCCTATAGCTAATGTCAGCCATCAAAAAACAATGATATACTGTTCTTCACCAAGTTGCTTCACCACCAGCAGGTTTTAGTTAACATTATTATGATAGTGAATGACCCTAAAGAGGGCTCCCTTGTTCATTTAAGGCTCCTTCCTAATAACCTGCAGCTGTGCATGCACCATAAGCTGTGGGAGTTTCTGATGGGCACATTAAAGTGTTGGTATGTCACTCATATGGTTCTTATGGGCTTCCTTTGATGACTCATAATATTCCATGAGTCCAGCTGTCAATGGCCAATTCCTCAGCTGGGCTGATGACTTGAAAAGCTACTTACCAGTCTTTAAATGTTTCTCCCAGTTGCTAATAAAAAGCTAGGAGCTCTTTTTTTGCAGTGGATAAAAAATGAAGAGGCACTCATTTCAAATTAAAGCAGCCATTCTTCTGAATAGGACAATCTCCAACCTTGGTAAACTTTTGTTTAGTTGTCCATTTGGTTATGGAGATACAAAGTAATTTGGAGGAGAAATCATTATTGTTTTGATGGCATGGAAATGTGATCGTACATTTGCAAAAGGCCACAAATGCAGCATTGGGCACAAGTTTTAAGGAGTGATCTTATTTTGTTGGCTTGTAATGGAGATATTTAACTTTTTTTCTGAATGACAGCAGTGAACATAAAAGCATAATGGCAGTTTGACTGTAAAATTTTAATTTAGAATTAGTGGGATCATTATGTCTTTTATTTGGGAAAACAAAGGCATTATTGAAAAATAGAAAACCCACAAAGTACATACAAAATTAAATAGAAGTTAAAGGGAAAAAGAGGTAAATATATAAATATAAAGCCTAATTCTGTAATGAAGTTAAAGTTTTATTTTTTAATCTTTTATTTTGGTACTAAATCTTAATTTAGAGCCGACTTTAATAGAACTGTAGCAATTTATTGCTTAAATTTCCAGAGCAGAATAATGGGTTGATGTTTTTAGGTTATCTTTGTTACGGGTTGAGTTCGGTCCTCGGTCCTTGTCCATGCCCCAACAAAGAATTGAAAGGCAGAGGTACGATAGCAAAGCAGAGGGAAAAGTTTTATTTGAAAATACTCCAAGGGAGGAACAGGCCTGGGTCAAGGTAGACAAAGGCCCCAATCTGTTAGGTGGGAGGCTTATGTATTGCATTCTGGTTAGGAGGCACCTCTTTGACAAGGTGGGGTTATTGGATTTACACGTCCGTCTGTATAGTCCTCCCTCTCAGGGGGCATGTCCTTTCTCCATGCTGAGGTGTGGTTTGGGGAGCTCTTAGTTCCTTTGATTGTGCCCCTTGGGATCTGGTGGGAAAGAAGTTATCTCCCTGCAAAGCCTTTGCTGTCTCCGCATGGGAACCCGTCCCTGGGCAGAGTTTGGGCGGCTTCTTCTTTGAACCTTATCTTCCCCTGTTCTGGCTGCTCACATCTGTCTTTCTACCTAACATTCCTAACACCTTTGGCATTGAATTTTAGATAGTTACCTTTAAAAAAAATCCTTTTGTTTCAAGAAGCTTGGTAGAAAGGGGACAGTTTCTAGGGAAGATAGTTTAGAATGATGACCTCTGTATCTTTAGGCAATTGCCTCTCTTATCTACAAAAATTCATTTAATTTCTCTATGTTTTTGCTTACCTGTTTTCATAGAAGGCAGGAAAACACTAAATTAACTTCATGATATGAAGAACATCTTTACAAATATTTATAAATACTTATCCAATAGTTCTAAGGCCTGTATACATGATGCTGAAACAAAAAAGGATAATAATGATTATTCCTATGTCATTAAGTGTTAGTGTCTGCAAAATATTTCAAATTTTCAAAATCAGTTAAGACATATTTTTATAGAGGCTCAAAGCTAAGGACCTAAGGGACATTAGCGGAACTTTGTTTACCCATGTTTAATGGACCCTGATGCAATTGGAAACCCAAGAAAAAGGGTATCGTTGTGTAATCGTCAATTCTTGCATTATGTAACCACTTTGTTTTAATGCTCTCCTCACATTTCTGAGGGCTCACTTATGCTGCAGTAGCCATCACTAAGCCCTTACTACTCTCTCTCTCTCCTCATATAGTTCATGTCTTCATTAACAATAGGGATGATACATCATTTCTTAAGAAACATTTCTATTATACCTTACAAATAAATCTCAGTAATTGGCCCCTTATATGGTGTAAAAAATGTAATAGTTGTTCTTTAAAATGCTCTGCTGAAGTTGGGAAGCAGGTGGGAAGAAGATGCCTTAGTCACTTATTAAGCTCCTTTCTACGTTGTGCTGGCTTATTTAAAATATATCTTAGAAAACAGAATGCTAAGAATTGCTACAATTAGGATAGAAGAGTACACATTTGAAACTTGGTAATTAAGACAGTTTATTAAATATTGGCAAACAAGTGCCTCAGTATAAAATATAGAGACCATATATATAACACAGTAAATATCTCATCTCTTAAATTCTTAAACAAGGATTTAGTTATCAGGCCTCTTTGTGGTTTTATTTCTCAAAGCATTGAAAAAAAAGAGAGATAAGAAAGAAAAAGCATGAGATGAATATCAGAAAGATGTCCAGCATAAGAATTTATTTTTTAAAATATAATAGCATTGAGTCTGTTTTATCTGCATCCCAAATAAAATTTTGGCCAAGCCAATGACCACCCCCGTTAACCCAGATATCCCCTAACATAATTGAATGGGGAACATGTATAAGGGATCATCTTACTTATTTAGATACAATTTAATCAGTGAGTTTGGTTATAAAAATTAGGCCTTCTAGGAAAACAGAGGTTATGAATGAAAAACGATTCCACATTAAGCAATGAACAGGAATTTGTGGAGCTCAGGGAAGCTGGAAATTTAGCTATTGGATGAATGGGAGTGAGGCAACAACTGGACATCCTCATGCAAAAAATGGATCTAGATGCAGACCTTACACCTTCACAAGCATTAACTCAAAATAGATTCCAGAGCTCCAAGTAAAATGCGAAATTCTATAACTCCTAGCAGATCATGTAGGAGAATATCCTTTGATGTGGTGATGACTTTTTAGGCACAACATCCGAGGTACCACCCATGAAAGGAATAAATGATAAGCTGGACTTCATTAAAATAAAAACTTCTGCTCTGGGAAACATATGGCAAGAGAAAGATAAGACAAACCACAGTGGGAGAAAATATTTGCCAAAGACACATCTGATAAAGGACTGTTATCCAAAATACACAAAGAAAATAAAACTCAACAATAAGAAAATAAACGACCCAATAAAATACTGGGTCAGAGACCTGAAAAGACACCTCAGCAGGAATATGTACAGATGGCAAATAAACATATAAGCTATGTTCAACATCATATGTC